CTCTGCCACTCCTGAGGTATGCTGCTCCTTGGATGCTGCCAGCCTGCTCCACGTGTGCTGCTCCACGTGTGCTGCTCCACGTGTGCTGCTCCATGTGTGCTGCTCCACGTGTGCTGCTCCACGTGTGCTGCTCCACGTGTGCTGCTCCACGTGTGCTGCTCCACGTGTGCTGCTCCACGTGTGCTGCTCCACGTGTGCTGCTCCACGTGTGCTGCTCCGCGTGTGCTGCTCCACGTGTGCTGCTCCACGTGTGCTGCTCCACGTGTGCTGCTCCACGTGTGCTGCTTCTCTCGATGTGTATGCAATGGTCACATTCTCTGCAGCACGTGTGGGGTATGCTATGCTCTATAGGTTGTAGCTCTATAGCTTTCTTTCAGTCCAGTACTACACGGCCAATCAGACGCCTCCCTGCTACTGGGGTCAAAAGTCCTTCCCCAACAACTCAGAGCGTCATTCATGCATCTCACCATGTCGTCCCTACCCCTCAACCCTCCCTCTGTCCCGTCCTCACACTGCTCACCTCCCCTCTCTTGCAACCCTACCATACCCTAACCTACCCTACCCTCCAACCCCTTCCCTCTGCAACCCATACTCTACGTCTCACCATGCTGTCCTTACCCTTCCTGACCAACCTTCCTGTTCTCTCCCTCAACTACTACTCCCCTCACCTCCTCTCCCTCACAGGTGGCCGTTCGTCGTCTCGACCAATCAGACACCTTTCTGGTGCTCGGTTCAGACTGGTTGTGGGAGTATGTGGGGGACGACGAGGCGATAGGGGTGGTGGTGGCGGCGGGGATCATGCCTTACTTCCCCCCTCAACTCAACCCTATCCTCCAACCAACCCCTTCTCTCTGGAAACCAGACTCCACATCTCATTATGTCCTCCTTACCCCTTGAATCCCCCCTCTGACCCCTCCCCTCCCCTCTCCTCTCACAGGTGGTCGTGCGTCGTCTCGACCAATCAGACGCGTTTCTGGTGCTCGGGTCGGACGGCCTGTGGGAGTATGTGGGGGATGACGAGGCGATAGGGGTGGTGGTGGCGGCGGGGAGCATAGAGGCGGGAGTGAAGGCGCTGCTGAGCTTGGCTAAGGAGAGATGGCTGACGAAAGATGGGGCCGGGTATGTTGATGATATCACTGCGCTGGTGGTGGGGTTCACACACAGGAAGGTATAGAGGCTGATAGAGAAAGTAAAGCGGGGCAGAGGGGGGAGGGAAGCTGCTGGGCTTCGTTAGGAAAAATGTCTGACAGGAGATGGGGCAGCGTATGCTGATGACATCACTGCTCTGGTCGTGGGTTTTACACACCGGAAGGTGTGATGTGAAGCTGTTTGCCACAGGAAGGTGTAGACTGTACAGTGGAGACGGGTCATGGGGAAAAGAGAGAAAGATGGAGGGGGAATGGGAGATGGGGACTTGAGGGGAGTTACTGGCTGTGAAGGGGCTGCCGTGCTTGGCAAAGGAGAGGTGGCTGTCAATGGTCCCGGGGGGGGTATGTTGGCGATATCACTGCTCTGGTGGTGGGGTTCACACACAGGAGGGTTTAGAGCGCTTGACAAGGAATGAAACGGGGTGAAGAGGGGGTGACGGGAAGGTGTTTCAAAGAGGATGAGAGGAAGAGTGGGTGGAGGACAATGAGAGAGTTGGAGCTTCCAACACACGCCTAGAATCGGAGCAGCCTCACCTTACCTACCTGCTTGCGATCGATCTGGCATGCTTAGGTGGTGCCTTGCCTTCCGCAGGGAGATGGTCTAAGAAGCATATGCTTGGTTGGGGCAATGAGTGATCATAGATATTTATTTAAACTATCGAACATGTTTTGTCATTGTGTCACACTCTTTGATGAGGTGCTAAAACTCTGGTTACTGTAGGTTATATGGAATAGGATAGGGTGTTTGCTATTTTTAATTCGCTCCTAGTGATATGCAATATTGTACTGTATGTGGTTGCAAGCAAGCATCTCTATAAGGAGATGAAATGAGACTCATTCCATGCATCACATCACCCACACTATGAAGTGACTGGAAAAGTGTAGCAGCGCTGGTTCATCTCGAAACACGATTTCGGCTTTTGCGCGTAGCCAAGGCAAAGAGGTTCGACACCGAAGTTCAGGTCCAAGCCTCAAATGCGAAGCTTTCGGAGTAACAAATTGGAGGGAGGTTCAGTACGGTACTTGGATGTAGAAAAGTTGTGATTGGGGAGCAGCTATTTGTAGTCAACCATTGGTGTTGACTGGCTTCCCCCGAGTTTGTCGCTCAAATTTCGCCGCCTCCGTCGTCGCGTAGCGCGGTAAAAAAACTTTGCACTGCCAGTTCAACCACTGTAACGGGCAGTTTTCTAAATGCTTGTGGGCAGTAGCCCGAAATGGTCTTGGGCTTGGACCCCAATATTCAAACTCGGGCAGCCCCACGAGATTTGCTTGGGCAAATGAGCACAAAGCTGGGCAGGTCAGGGTCTAGAGAACACCTCGCGCCATTCTCGCTCCCGAGCCTGACAAGTCCAGATCCGAGCCTGAGCAGCCCTCTTCCCTTCCAGACCACCCAGGTGACCCTTTTCGCCTCCAACCCCTCCATTCCCCTACTCGACAGTGCCTACAAATCTGCACACACAGCATTCATGCAATCATCCTAGCTTGCGCATACTATCAGTTCTAGCATACAGATCAACTCTCAACGTTTGCTCATCTCGTGAAGAATCCGCACTATGGCCTCAGAGTCTGACTACCCGTCGTACTTCAACAACGACTTAAGCTTCTGGAAGAGCCTCAATAGCAACAAACCGACGCAACCATCGATGCAGCCTCGGAGCTCCTCCAACGCGAGCAAACTCCGCCAGGTTAGCAGCCTCAGCCTGACGCCCTGCTGCAGCGAGGCCAGCGACGTGATGCTCTCTTGCGCTGACACTAGCACTGAGCGCGTCGACGACGCCAGCCGCAGCGACGGCTGTCTTATTGAAGCTGCAGCATCTTACGGTTCGACGGCGTCGCCGGATCCGATGACGTCCGATCCGTCGTCCTCTGATCCGTCGATGCCAGATCTGGTGGCCTCCGTACCTGCTGTGAACGTGGAAACCACCACCTCGAAACAGTTGGCGTCCGAAACGGCAACGTTCGAACCAGTGGCGTCGGAATCGGTGACATCCGAATCGGTGACATCCGAACGGGTGACGTCGGAACCAGTGACAACAGAACCGGTGACGTCGCCGCCGGCCGAAGTTTCTCCGACGGCCGTAGCAGCTGGCTTGGCGAAGGCAGCTGCGACGCATTCAGTACATCATGCCTCACACCTGCTGCCGTCTCGCATCCCCAAACCAAGCGGTCAACGAGCGATCTTGAAAAGCCGCGCGGAGGGGACGACGTTGATTCCGCGGCCTGCAGGAGCCGCTGGAGCCGAGAGGCAGGTGCGAAGCAGAAGGAGTTCCAACGGCACGAAGCAGCTCGAAGGCAGTCGTGGGTCAATTCCCGCGGCTGCAGCGAAGAAGGCTCGAGCTGTATCGTCGTCCAAGGTGGTGCTGGCTGCGAGCTCACGACGTCCATGGCGGCCCTAAGCGCTGCTGTGATTCGCTGCAAGCTCCGACCTCTAACGTGCTAATCTACCAAGACTGCACCCAAGTCACATGAGAAGGGGATCTCCCTTGGGGAAACTCCCAGAGGATCCCCGTGGGAAAGGGTTTCTGATTTCTTCCTCCTGGGTAAAAAAAAAAAGACTAAAAAAAAAACGTACAAAAAGAAAGCATACATGAAAATATATTTAAAAAAATGGAGACATTTGAGAAGCAGCAAAGGATTAGTCCGGCGGGATGAAGGTGGAGAGCACAGAATCAGAGCCTCGAGCAGATTGCAGCAGTGGGGTGGTGGTTGGGAGGTCAGGGAAGAGGGGTGATGGTGGGTCTTTTTTTTGCACCCTGCTCGTCAGGGTGTTTGGGAGAGTGGGTTGGGAATCTGGTGGGGGTTGGAAGGATGATTATCTGCTGCCATTCAGCAGTGGCTCTGCTTTGAGCTCTCCCCTGCAGGTTGACAGCATGTCAAGTGCTCACCCCAAGGGATGGTTCTGGCTCGGAGCGCTCCCAAAGGGATGGCTCTGGTCCGGTGCGCTCCCAAAGGGATGACTCTGGTCCGGTGCGCTCCCAAAGGGATGGCTCGGGTCCAGTGCGCTCCCGAAGGGATGGCTCGGGTCCGGTGCGCTCCCAAAGGGATGGCTCGGGTCCGGTGCGCTCCCAAAGGGATGGCTCTGGTCCGGGGCGCTCCCAAAGGGATGGCTCTGGTCCGGTGCGCTCCCAAAGGGATGGCTCTGGTCCGGTGCGCTCCCAAAGGGATGGCTCTGGCCGGGGCACTTCTAATGGTTGGCACGAGCATACTTTGACACACCAGCTAGGATATATGCTTGCTCATCTTGTATTAGCCTCCTTTATTTAGTCACTACATGCTTGTTAAAGAAAATGCTGTGATGGTACGGTAGTGTTCATGTCATAAGCATTAACAGTCCAATCAAGGCAAGAACGGCCTTGGTACTCACTGTGTGACACATTCTCTCTTCACACACACCCTGAACAACTTGCAGACACAAATGCAGCCTGAATCCTGATCATGATGAATTGAGCACGTGCAGGACTACGTAGTACCGCATGCCTCATCTTCCTTCCTCCTCTCTGCATTTGAGCAGCCACAGCATCTACAATACCGTAGCACCATCGTCCCCACAGCCACAGCAGCGAATGCTTTCTCGTCCAATCCTCTCATTCCTGCCATTTCACACCTCATCTCCAGACCTTGATAGCTCCAATGTGCACTGAAGCAGCTAAGTATACATGAGACGCCGCTACACTTGTTCCATGCCTTAACTCCTCTTGGCCTTGGTGCCTCCTGTGTGCACTAGAGCAGTTGAGCTTCATTCAGACGCCTCAACACTAGTTTCATGCCTCAACTGCTGGCCTTGGTGCCTCCTGTGTGCACTAGAGCAGTTGAGCTTTGTTCAGACGCCTCAAAACTAGTTTCACGTATCAACTATTTGGCCTTGGTAGCCCCTGGGTGCACGGGAGCAGCAGCAGCCACGGCAACAAGCACCAGAGCCCCCACAGCAGCAGCTAGGGACGTACCCCACAGCACCAGGGGCGTGTGGGCAGCACACCCCGCCGGCACCTCCCACAGCAACGCCCCTTCCTCCGCCTTCTCCCCTCTCTCCTCGTCGTGCCTTCCCTCAGAAAGTGCTGCTCCGGATCCCTCCGAGTCTCCTCCCAGACCTGCTGCTCCCACCAGCCTGTCCGTTTCCCCGTCTGCAGCTGCTGTTTGTGACGACCACGTGAGCCGCATGGGAAGGCACTCGCAGCGGGGTGTGGTGATGGCATCACATGCTGCTGACGGTGATGGCGATGGCGATGATGGTGATGGTGATTCTGATGTTACTGCTGATGGTGATGGCGACGGTGGTGTTGACGATGATGGTGCTGAAGGGTGCAGGGCGGATGGCCCGTGGCAGATCGGGGGAGGGGGGAGCACGAGGCATGCGGAAGGCAAGGGCACATGAACTGCAGTGTGTGATTGGCTGCAGCTGCCGGCGATGGCTCGTGAGAGAGAGGAAAGGGCGGAGAGAGAAGAGTGGTTGCTGCTAAGGGTGGCTTTAAGTTGTTGGAAGTCCCAGGGAAGGGAGGCAAGAGTTAGGAGCGAGTGAGAGGCGGATCGGAGGAGGGAGAGCAGGGAGAGTGGGGGGGAGAGAGTTGGCAGCACAGCCTGGCAGGGGACAAGCAGGGGGAGGGCAGGGGGGGAAAGGGAGGTGGTGGTTGGGGTGGGGATTGATAGAGGATGTTGAATCTATCATGCTAGTAAGCAGTTCTTGGTGCACCTGGTAACCTTTTCAGAAACAAAAGTGCTGCGTTGTGCTTGATTATGATATTGGGGAGGCAGCAGGGGCAGTGAGGGATTGAGAGAGACGAATGCACAATTTGTTTCACGGGAATTCATCAAAACAAACCAGCATGCACTGGGAAATCAATGATAACTGGAGGATACAGAGTCGTTACAGGTTGTGCAAATTAGGAAGCTTACTTGTAACGAGGGCGTTGGTGGGCAACAAGACGATAAGAAGATGTGAATAATGGAAGAGTAGTTGAGGACAGAGTGGTTACCGGGTATCGAGAGTGCAGAGGCAGGCTGAAATCCACTGAGAAAGCAACCTCATCTTCCCCCACCTGCATGTCACCCTCCCCCTCCCCCTCCCCCTCCCCCTTCCCGTCCCCCTCCCCGTCCCCCTTCCCCAGCTGCACCTCGTCGCCCTTCCCCCCCACACGCACGTCCCTTTCCATGAGTGCCACCGTTGCTTCACAGCGCGGCGCTGGCTGCTCCAGCTCCACCGGACCTACCACCCAGGCTCGGTCGCCGGCTGCTTCGAAAGGTAGGGAGGGAGGAATGGGAACAATAGGGGGAGAAATGCAGTCGGGAAAGGGCTGAGAGGGGAGGGAGAAGGGAGGGTGGGAGGAAGGGAGGGGAAGAGTGAGAAGAGGCAGAAGGGGTGGAATTCAAACAACAGCAGAATAATTGTTATTATCAGCAACAACAGAAGCACCAGCATCATGATTACTGGTGGTAACCGTGCCACTGCGCACTTCCCCCTCCTCACTGCGCATTTCCCCCTCCTCACTGCACACTCCCCCTGCCACCCTGCCCACTCCCCCCCTTCATTGCCCACTCCCCCCCCTCACTGCCCACTCCCCTCCCTCACTGCGGACTCCCCCTGCCTCCCCCTCACTGCGCACTCCCCCTGCTTCTCCCTTCCCCATTCCCCCTTCACGCGCCCAAGAACACCCCCCCCTCACCTGGTCGGAGGATTCGCTCCAGCTCCGCCTCAGCTGCGCTACCCACAGCTCCGCCTAAACTGCGCTGCCCACTCCCTCTGCGCCCTTCTCCCCCGCGTCTTACCATCCCATGCGCCCACTAACGCCCCTCTCCCCGCCTCACCGGGTCGCAAGATTCGCTCCAGCTCAAACGGATCGGCGTACAGCCCACGTGGCACGGGTTGCTCCAATCGTATCGTGACACGTGTCCTCCCTTCTGCCCCACCGCTTCCCACGCTTTCACTAGCAGCAGTGCAGCTACTGAGCTCTGGAACCGCTCTGCACCCATCTGTCGGCCGCTCGTCCTCTCCACCGTCTGTTCTCCCTCCTTCCGTCTCTCCCTCATTCCCATTGTAACAGCTCCCCGTTCTAGTAACGGGCGCTTCTCCGCACGCCACGTGTGCACCGCCTGGATGACGTGGGCGGAACACGTCGGCGCGGCATGTCACGCGGAGCGACGTGCGCAGCACGCGGTGCGCCCCGCGCCCCTCGAGGCTCCGCGCGGCGATTTGCGCGGCGCAAGGTGCGGAGGGGAGGCGGACAGGATGAGGGAGCACGAGGGGGAGGAGGGCGAGGAGCAAAACAAGGAGCGCAAATCGCGGGGCCATGGAGCAAAGTACGGAGCGATAGTCCGCTAACATAGGTAATCCGCGATTCGTCGTGTCACATTCGTCCCGCCGAAAGCGTGTGCCCTGCAATGCTGCGACGCGGCACGAATGCTGCCAACAAGAATACTAAGCCCAGCCGTGACATGGTTTCCACCAGGAAGTAGGTGTCTACAGAATAGTAAGGCTCACTTAGCCACATCTTTGGTCATGAAGCACCCAAATACGACATGTTCGAGAAGTGGTTAATATTAGGTTTGGGTCGGTCGAATTCGGTTCGGAGCCTAGACTACGATAAACAGATGCTTTCTGTGTGGTTTTGTGGGTTCAGCGCGGTGGAGCTAGGTACAACGTTCGCGACAGTTTTGAACATCTGTCAATGCACCATGATGGTTCTTCGACTGACATAATGTGCACTTTTTATACCCACGAAGTTCATCGAGAATATGGTTACCACACCAACGATTTTAAAACCAGCTGTTCAAGTCAAGTTAGCACGAGTCGCGAACAGTTTTACCATAGATAACGGGTAGTGGATCCCGCTTCTGTTGACCTGTTCAGTACCGTCGCCGGTGCTCCCTCCTAGACTCTTTATTGTCGCGTCGCACACCTCGCCGCACATCCCGCTGCATATCTCGCCGCACATCGCACGATGTTGTTCCACGCGGCGGGCGCGGAGGGCAGTCGGCCGACGTTCTTCGAGATGGCGGCGGCCGATTTCCTCCCCGCCTCGCTAAAAGCCGCCGCGCTATACGCCCTAGGGGTGCGTGGAAAGCTGTTGTTACCTAGTTCCACTTGGGGAGGCGGGAAGGGGGAGGCGAGGGGAAGAGGGGAAGCGGGAACGAAAGCAAGGCGGCGGGGATGGGAAGGGGAGGGTTGCCAGCCGCATAGAACGAGGCGGGTCGTCATGGCTCGTCACCAGCGGGTGGAGCAGGCGTGCATCCGAATTGTAGAAATAACATTTTCTGATTTTCTTCTAAATGTGTCGTCTTGTGTGAGCATGGGCGAGTAGAGGGACGTATGAGATCTCTCCACGTGTCCTGTAAACCTCATGAAGATTCCCTCGACCCCGTCATCTCCCCCTCCTCATTCCTCCCAGTACGCTGCGTGCACACTGCCTTCATTGCCCTCTTCCCGTCCCCTCTCCTCCCCTCCCTTGCCTCGCAGGTGTTGGCACAGCACCGCCCGTCGCTGCACCGCCTGCTGGACCACAGCGACGAGCTCTCTGCTGCTGCGCTGCTGCTGCTCGAGTGGCACTCGCTCAAAACTCATGGTACTGCACTCTGTACTCGTTATTAGCTCTTGTCGTAGCCATGCCAATTTTCCGTGCCACCTCCCATACGCATTACCACCGCATTACTGCTACGCCAACTCTCCCATAGTCCCGCCCTTGAACATTTCCACCATCCTCGTCCTCATCATCATTGCTTCCCTTCGCTCCTCCTCACCCCTCACTGCTTGCCACCCCCCCAGGCGCCTCATTCGGCTCCACTGTTGCCTTCCCTCCGCTCCTCACCTCACCTCTCCACTGCTTCCCCCACCCATCTCACTATCGTCATCTCCCCACTGTCCTCCCATCTCCCTCCCAGGTGCATCTTTCGGCGAGTCTATGTACGGCCTTCGCCGTATCTCCACCGTTCCCCACCGCCCTTCACCCAGCCAAGCAGCATTACGAACAGGGGCCACAGCAGGGAGGGCAGCAGGAGGGGCGGAGGGGGCAGGCAGAGGAGAGAGTGCGGCAGGGGGGCAGGAAGGAGGGTCGGCATCATATGGCATGTCTCGCAAGTAGGGGGCGCTCTCTCTTCTCTTTCTGGTCAGTTGGGGTTTAGGGTTGGGGTTCTGGATTCAGGGGTTGTGGTTGGGGTTGAAGAGGGTAGCGTCTTAGCTGCTGACTTATAGGTGCCGGCATGCCGCGAGGCAGCATGCAGAGGTGGGTTGGTTGATACTGCAGGCCTGCAACCCACACCGGTTCTTACCCGTTTGTTTTTCAACCACACCTCATACGCTTTATTGGGCGCCAGGTTTTCCTGCTTTGCCTACGCACCAGGCTCCATGCCCTGTGTGCTATATCCTGTAATGCTACCATTACCCTTTCATCTCTCCACTACACCCCATACTTTCTAACACATACCAGGTTCTCCTGCCCTACCTGCGCGCCAAGCTGCATGCCTTTGTGTGCCATATATCTGTGATGCTGCACCCTGTTCCCATCCTTACCCATTCGTCTCTCCACCGCACCACATGCCTTTTTTTGCACGACAGGTGCTGCTGCCCTACTTGCGCGCCAAGCTGCATGCTCTGTTTGCCGCCCGCCAGCAGGCCCGCGCGCTGTTATTGATTATCTCTCAACTACACCCCATACCCGTTATTGCACTCCAGGTGCTGCTGCCCTACCTGCGCGCCAAGCTGCATGCTCAGTTTGCCGCCCGCCAGAGGCAGAGGCAGGCCCGCGCACTGTGGGTGGGGGGAGATGGGGCGGACGAGGGGTGGGGGTGAGCGGAGGAGGGGGAGTGGGGGACGGGGAGGGATGGGGGAAATAATGCTGGTCTGGGGCAAGGGGATGAGGATGGGTACGGGGATGGGTATGGTGGGGCGAGTGGAGGTGAGGAGCGCAGTGAGAGTGGCAGCAGCCCTGCCAGCATGGGTTCTGTTGGTTCCCTGCATGGGCACGAACAGCTAGATGATGGGCTGGGGACTGATGGATTGAGGGACGAAACGCCAGGGGGTGGGGGTGTGGCAGCGGCCGCAGCAAGAGTTACCGACGGGCGTGCAGAGGGAGGAGCAGGAGAGGAGGAGGCGGGGGGGCAAGAGGGGCAGGTGGTGACAAGAGGGGCTGCTGCTGGCAATTCAGATGCCAGAGGCAACGCTGGAAGGAGGAGCAGTGCGATTGGCAGCAGCAGGAGCAGTGCGAGGGGCAGCAGGAGGTGGCGGCAGGTGGTGCGAGTGCTGCGGTGGGTGCAGCAACGGGCGGTGAGAGGGGCCGCTGCCGCGTACCCCTGGGTGCAGGCACCGTATGAAGGTGAGCTCTGTCTGTGTGGGAAATTGAGCCGGTGTGTTTCGGAATAGGCTAGAGCTCACACCTTAGAGAAAAAAATGTCTCAGGCTGCTGAGCTGAGAGGCTCTGCTGCGGCGTACCCCTGGGTGCAGGCGCCATATGAAGGTGAGCTTGTCTGGCCTGGGGTGGTGAACTGGTCTGGTGTAGTGAGCATGTCGACTGGTGTTGTTCTCCCCCCCTTTTCCTCCACACTCATCAGGCATGTGTCTGCTGTACCAGCTGCTCTACGTCATGGATGCAATACCTCACTACCAACGTTTGTAAGATGTGCTGTGTTCCTCCCCTCCCCCTCCCCGTCCCCTCCGTTTCCCCCCACCCACCCCCCACTCCCGCAGGCCTGTGTCTTCTGTACCAGCTGCTCTACGTCATCGACTCCACGCCGCACTACCAACCGTCATAAGCTCTGTGCCTTGCTTGCGCTACCCCTCACTCTTCCTCTTCCCCCTTCCCCCACCCACCAGGCGTGTGTCTGCTGTACCAGCTGCTATACGTCATGGATGCAATACCTCACCACCAACCTTACGCTACCCCTCACTCGTCCTCTTCCCTCTCCTCCACACCACCAGGCCTGTGTCTGTTGTACCAGCTGCTATACATCATGGACGCCACACCGCACTACTCACCCGTGCTGCACCTCCTCTCCCTCTCGCTGCGCCGTGCCACACCACAGGAGCTGGTGAGCCTGCTTGCACCGTCACATCGAGGCACGCTTTCTCTGCAGACGTTATCACTATGCTCGTTTATTTATCTTCTGTGTGTGTGAGAAGACTTGAAGCTCCTGTCTGCCGCATTTAGTGCCATGCCACGCCACGCCGCAAGAGCTGGTGAGCCTGCATGCACTCTCACATCGAGGCACGCTTTCTCTGCAGACGTTGTCTCTATGTTCGTTTATCTATCTTCTGTGTGTGAGAAGAGACTTTAAGTTCGTGCATGTTGCTTTTAGTGTCGAGCCGTGTCACAAGAGCCGTGTCACAAGAGCCGTGTCACAAGAGCCGTGTCACAAGAGCTAGTAAGCCTGCACCGTCGTATCGCTGCACTTTCTCTGTGAATATTGTCGATTCATCTGATTCATTATCTGCAGACAAAGGCATATTTTCTGTTTTCTGCTTGCCGGTGAATGGTGGATTGTCTAAATGCCTTAAACAAATCATCCCTCCCCTCCCTTTTGTGCAGGCAAAGGCCTCTTCCTCCATCTCTACACGCCGCCAGCGAGAGTTTGAGCGCCTGCCAGGCCCACCTGCAATCCAGGTGGGATACTACGAATGATAACCTGCATGGAGGTGATGTATTGGGGTTAATAGCTTACAGTATGTGTGAGGTAGTAAAGTTGCTATCCTACTGTACGAGTAGTGTATGGGCAGGGTTAGTAGGAAATTCCAACTTCTGGTACGTGTCTCGTGCGCCTCTGTTCTCCTCATTCTCTCTCCCCAATCCCACGTTCTCTCCTCACGGCATCTCCGTCTCCCCATCGTGGTCGTGCAAGCAGCGCTCCTGAAATTCCTCTACATGCCGTCTCCTCTCGCCGTTTCCTTCCCAATGGACTATGCCCAGACGTCTGTTATTGCTGCTGCTGCTGCTGCTGCTGCTGCTGCTGCTGCTGCTGCTGCTGCTGCTGCTGCTGCTGCTGCTGCTGCTGCTGCTGCTGCTACCGCTGTCTTCCTTGTCACTGCATCTCCCATCCCTGCCACTAACCTTGCAGGCCATGCAAGCAGCGCTTCTGAAAGCCCTCTATTTCACAATGGACTATGCCCAGACGTCTGTTATTGCTGCTGTCTTTGCCTTCAAGGTACGCGGCTTTTATTAAGTTCGAAGAAAGAAAACACACGAAGAGAATGGCCATGTGAAGAGCAGTCTCCATTTTCTTGCTCTCGCCTCGTGTCTCGTGCCTTTGCTTGGATACGAGTAGTGTATGGTACATCTTGATGCTTGACCTCTGCCAATTAGACTCTTTAGCTGTTCATCTTGTGTTAGGCTCATGTACCGTACCGTATGTCTTTAATATAGTGCCTGAAAGTGAACACTGTGTTAGTAGTCTTCAGAACTCTTGCAGTATTGATAGCTGGTACTGATACGACCAAGCCAACAATCTGTAGTGAAAGAAGACACTTTCAACGCACCCCAAACAACCCCTTGGTGCGCCTAAACAACTTGAGATGGAAACTGGACTTGGATTGCCAACACTATGGTAGTGTGCGGTAGTACCTAGTAGAAAATGTATCACTACACATTGAAGAAATAAAAATCAAGGATGCTAGCGCTTTGAAGGCTCGTGATTCTGTTGCGCTGGAGCAGCAACAGGAACTACAATAGCTCCAAAATCTCCACAACCACAGCAGCAAACGGTTTGGTCCTTTCCTCCTCCTTTGCTCCTCTCATTCTTGTCACCACCTCGTCTCCAGGCCTTAGTATCCTGCATATGCACCTGAGAGAGGTCGAGTTCGTGAAGCCTCACAGCTTTCAAGCGCACAGTTCCATTCCTCAACTTCTTGCCTTGGTGCCTCCTGTGTGCACGAGAGCAGCACCAGCCACGGCAACAAGCACCAGGGGCATGTGGGCAACGCCCATCCCATAGCAACGCCCCCTCCTCCTCCTTCTCATCTCCCTCACCCCTTTCCTCACCTTTCTCCTCTGCCCACTTGACCTGTGCAAAGACTCCCGGCTGGATTCAACTCTTCCTCCCTTTCCTCCTCATGCCCTTCCACTCATCCAGCAGTAAGGGCCTGGGTTACACGCGGCTCATCTTGAGCCTCTTTTCAAAGAGCCGCTGCAGCAGGCACACTTGTATGATGCCACACGTTATGAGTGCACCCGCCTGTAGCACCGCCTTGCCGAGGACTCTCTGTGCCGTCCACTTGTCCACTGGAGAGGGGAGGGGTGGTGAGGAGGTAGGGTGGGGGGACACAGAGAGTTTTGAGACAACTATAAATGCTAGACACTGCAGCAGGCACACTTGTATGATGCCACACGTTATGAGTGCACCCGCCTGTAGCACTGCCTTGGCGAGAACCCTCTGTGCCGTCCACTTGTCCAGTGGAGGGGAGAGACGGAGGGGGTCGGAAAGGCAAACGGGACACAAGTCTCAGTGGCTGCCTGTGGCACTGCCTTGGTGTCCACTTGTCCACTGGAGGGGGAATGGGGTGGCGGGCAGGGGCGGCAAATGGAACATAATTCGCAGACCTCCTTCGGCACTTCCTTGGCAAGAAATTTCTGCATCGTCCACTTGTCCGCTAGAGGGGGAAAGTGGTGGAGAGGGTAAGGGGGCAAGCAGAGAACAAGTGACAGAGGTTGCCTGTGACACTGGCTCGGTGACTGTGCATTGCACTTTACCACACTTGCACGATCCCACACGTCACGAGTGCACCCGCCTGTAGCACCGCCTTGGCGAGAACTCTCTGCGCTGTCCACTTGTCCAGTGGAGGGTAAAGGAGAGGGGGGCATGGCGGGGGGCAACACAGAGCACATGTCAAGCAAGCTGAATTCGGCACAGCTTATTTTGAGTGAATTCAAAAGTGAAAATGGTAATGTCTCATTGTAACAGGTGACTTTTGCATTAACAAAAAACACAGGTGAGAGCACAGGTGAGAGCACAGGTGAGAGCACAGGTAAGAGCACAGGTGAGAGCACAGGTGAGAGCACAGGTGAGAGCACAGGTGAGAGCACAGGTAAGAGCACCGGTGAGAGCACAGGTGAGTGCGACGGTGGTTTGAGCGCTTTGACAACAACACGTACGGAGTTCATGAGAAGCGTGCACGACAGCTCCAGAGGGCACGGCGACTGGACCAGAGAGATAGTGACACTTTGCCAACGACACATACCCACAGGCCATACCCATGGCATGGCACTGAGAACAATGCACTGCAGCTCCAAGAGACAAGATGAGTGGGGCTGTGAGTGAGTAACTAATAATACCATTCACACTGGTGCCCCATCTTGTGCATGCGACATGGGACGCAAACATGGAATCTCTAATGCCTGCTGTGCATCCCATTCCATTCAGGGTTTAGGGTTCATGATGACCTAAGCGTATGCTCCTCTCATGCTGCTCCACCCATGAGTCATGCCCTCAGACGGCCAGTACTCTTACAAGCATCATCTTGCATGTCATGTCCACCCACCCATCCACCCTCTGCTTGCTGCTCTCACATTCTGCGTGCTTCTCTCACCCTCTGCTTGCTGCTCTCCCCCCCTGCACTTCTTAAAGCAATGACTCTCAACCTCTGCGTGCCGTTCAGTGAAATACAAGGAGACGTGGATCTCATGCTTGGTGCGATTCATCTCCCCCCTTGTGCTGCAATCATGCAGGTTTACCCCCAAGAAAACCCCGTGCTATTATAAACCACATCTTGCTGTGCTGCTCTCACCCTCTGCATGCTGCTCGGCGAGGTAGAAGGAGTATTGGATCTCGTGCTTGGTGCGCATCACCTCCCCCCTGTGCAGCAATGGCGCACGTAACCCTCAACGCAACCCCCTGCTATCAAGATCCCCATCTTGCCGTGCTACCACTCACTCACCCTCTGCATGCTGCTCCGCGAGGTAGAAGGAGTAGTGGATCTCATGCTTGGTGCGCATCACCTCCCGCTGCAGCCGATGCACCTCCTTCACCAGTGGCTCGATTTGATCTGCTCGCATGCACATGCAGAGGCACGGGCATGCACACAAGACAGGCAAGCACAGAGGCATGAGCGAGCGCATAGGACAGGCACACGGGCAAGAACAGAGGAGAGAGGTGGGCCATGTGTGAGTAAGAGCCGCTCAGTAGCAGGGGATTGCATGCTTGGTGCGCATCACCTCCCTGTGCAGCCAATGCACCATCAAAGAAGGGCCACATACAAGAAGGGCCACATACGAGCCTGAAAAACTTGAGTCCTGGCCCCCAAGCATTGCACTCAAATAAAGGGCCACTCTTTGTCGCCCCATTGCTGGATTATCGGTCTTTGCCACATTTCCCATTTACTATTGTTAACTCAACTTTCTTTGCAATGTGCCCCATTTTCCATTGTCGCCTCACCATTCTTTGCCACGTGTTCAGTGGTGATTGGGTGGCCGTTCTCCACATCGAACGCCACAGATTCGTGCACGGCAGAGTCCGTCGTAAAGCAGAACTTGAAGAACCCATCAACGGCGGCGGTGACCATGAAGCTGTCGTCCGTCCTCGCCTCTATCTTCCGCAGCACGTGGCCCCTTGGGTCCTCCACCTGATGGTTGAACTCACGGGGGGAAGCGGAGAGGGGAGGAGGGGAGAAGGAGTGGGTGGAGTGGGGGTGTGAACACAGGACGAAGAATCTGAAGCTGTCGTCCGTCCTTGCGTCCACCGTGCGCACCACGTGTCCCCTGGGATCCTCCACGTGGTAGTTGAATTCACGGAGGAGGGGTGGGGAATGGGGGGTTGTTAGCGAAGAACAGCCGAAGTGCCGGTGCGTCCTCCCCTCCACATTCTGCACCACGTGTCCCCTGGGATCCTCCACGTGGTAGTTGAATTCACGCGGGGACGGGGAGAGAGGAGGAGAGGAGAGAAGCGCGGATGGGTGTACAAAGGACAGAGAATAAGCCATTGTTTTCCGCATTCGCATCCACCTTCAATACCACGTGGTCCCTTGGTTCTACCACGTGGCGATCTGGCGGTGTGAGCATAGACCCGGGAGGGAGGATCAAACGCCAAAGGTCTCTTACCCTGACGCTTGAATGCACGGCGAGGAATTTCCGGGAGCCTCGTCTAGAAGCAAGGGTTTGGCCCTTCTTTCGAGGAGTGAGGTTTCATATGCGAGCTGTGGCGCTCGGAGCAAAACCGTTTCGCTTCGCGAACTGATGAGGCAGCATATCGTGGCGGCTTACCGTTAGATCGATTTTCGCCTGCTCGCCTCCCCCCCAGTTGTAATCAGATTTGATCACGACAAATGACACGTGGATGGTCTCGCCGCCTTTCGGCACGAAATGCTGGAAGCACTCGCGCTTCAGCAGCGTAAAGACCAGCGCTGACGTGGACGTCGCTGATAGGAGGACGACGAGCGCGATGAGAAGCCACGAAAAGCGGGCCATGGCTTTAGCTAGGATGTTAGAAAAGGACCGGCTGGTGCACTAGAACCTAGAATCTACGATTGCTGTTGCCGCTGTCAGACGAAAACCGTTCTTTGCCGTTTTGGCAGCACTATAGCACATCGTGTGGGGCTTCAGTTCAGTCAGCAGCAGGCGAAATTCCCAAGGTTCGACTTGATTTCATGTGATTGGTGCACAAGTAGCGAGTTTGAGTTTGCGAGGGAAAATGACAGCAAACCAGCAATGAAACGAACCGAGATAATCAGTTCGGAGTCTATCCGAACCTGGCCGCGCGGTTTGGGTATTATTCCGCCAATACGAAACGACCAACCAATACGACGATGATGCCAAATGCACCGCAACCACTATCAGTCGAAATTGTAGGCACAAATATCAGTGTGCACTAAGCAACTAGCACTCCCTCCTCCGCACATCGCGGTTTCATTTGATACCTAGCATTGCATCAGACGGAGAGTCTGTAAACGTTGGTGCTACTACTCTTGCACGCACGGTAGCACACTCCGGACTCGGCCCATTTATGAGCAGCAGCTTCATGCGACGTGTTACTACTGCCGCCGGCGTGATAGCGGACGAGCGAAAGTAGATGCAGCCCAACACTCTCCGACGACTCTAATGCTCCCGAGAGTGCGCCTAACACATGTACGCTTAGATGGAATGATGAGTGCGCGCAAAGGGAATGACAGGTGATCGCGGTTGGATTGAGAGGTTTGGAGAAGTAGGGGTGAGCGTTTGGTCGACCGCTGCTCAACAATCGTGTCATGTTATGAGGCGCCTCCCAAGTCACTGGGCGAGCGCTACGCGAAAAGGGACCAGCCTGTGTGAAAATGAAGGGTGAGCGCAAGGAGAAAAAGGGGTGAGTGTAGTGGGATGAAGGGGCGTGCTCAGGGGAAAAAACGTGTGGGTTGCGGAAGTTGAGCGTTGGGGGAGAGTGACGGGCGAGAGAAGGGGGAAATGGGGTTGCACGGTGGGGAATGATGGGAAAAGGCAGGGACAAATGGGGGTGAGCGTTGGGGGAATGATGGGAAAAGGCAGGGAGAAATGGGGGTGAGCGTTGGGGGAATGATGGAAAAAGGCAGGGAGAAATGGGGGTGAGGGTTTGGGGGAATGATGGGAAAAGACAGGGAGAAATGGGGGTGAGGGTTTGGGGAATGATGGGCAAAGGCAGGGAGAAATGGGAGTGAGGGTTTTTGGGAATGATGGGAAAAGGCAGGGAGATATGGAGGTGATGGTCTGGGGAAATGATGGGGAAAGACAGGGAGAAATGGGGGTGAGCGTTGGGAAAATGATGGGCAAAGGCAGGGAGAAGTGGGGGTGAGCAGAAGATGGGCGAGGCCTAAGCTGCAAGCTTCAGAGCAATTTCCATCTTTTGTTCTCAACAAGACATAGAACCCCAAGTTCTTCTAATAAGTTGCAACCTCGTAATCACATCTCCCTTTTTCCCATTGCGTTCATTTCCCCTTTCAATGGTAATTGCAGAGCAAAGGCCTTTAGTAGCCACAGCCCTCCATCCTAGGGTTTGGCGGAGTGACTGATTCTGCCAACTGATCATCATTTTGCAGAAATGGCAAGCAGTACACAGCATCAGAAGGAGCAAAATGTGAAGGTATTACAGTCACCTGTTACATTAAGTCTCTATCTCTTGACTCAATGCTTCTGCTAGCTTTGCTGTTTCCATGCGATTCTGTGAACAAGCCTTTTCTAAGTCTGCTCAGCCCAATTGCCAATCCGGATCTAATAGAATATAACGATTTAATGGATTCCGTCTGCAGGTGCAGGAGCTGCAGGTGGCTTGTGCTGAGCTCTCCTCTTTGCCGCCTGGACGGGTACGATTCTTTGACCCGTTATGCCGCACTTGTGCATAGGTTACGCAAATGGAAATCACCAACAGAACGGGTCAGACCGCTTATCACAAAGGTGGTGCTATGTTTTTGCAGACCGCATATCAGAAGCGTGGTGCAATTTTTTTCCTCACCGACTGCAGTGCACTAAAGGAGAAGAAGCAAGGTAGGGTAGGAAGAAACTGTGTTGGAGGCTTGAACTTTTCCGTTTTCTTTCCAGTTTGTCACGCCTCTTTTGGCCTCCTTTTGTTCTCCATGGTGCATGCATCCCTTTCTTCTTCTCTTTGTAACTATTGATATGCGCTTCCCCCTTTGTATACTACATCCCATCCACGTTCCTTGCAGAGGAGCTCTCAAGACTGACTGCAACTGGTAATGCCAAATAAACTCGAACCAGCAAAACTGGAGGTGCATTAGTTTTTCAAATACCGTACTGTACCATATGTTTGCTATGCGAAATAGGCATGAGCATTGAGTCCACATGGCTACCGGTAGCTTTGGAAATGATCATATGCTGTGGATGGAATGGGAACAAGTCAGCGAAGCTTGTAAATTACTGTTACATGAATGTGGCAAAGCCTTTCCCATATGATGTGACATAAAGGTGTGTTTGTGTCTATGGTTCATGACATCCGGCTCACTAGTGCCAAACCCCACATACCAACAAACTCTTCTGCGGTAAAGTTTATGAGCTTCATTATTTCCAAAATTTACAAAGCAGAAATGACCGTAACTAATACTCTTACAACATGTAATGTACACCATAAACATCACAGCATTTCAGCAATATCACTCCCAGAGCCTACAGCGGGGCAGGAGTGCAGGCAATGGCCTCCCTCTTGCTGGTAACCAGCACCTCAAACATGACCAGAGTGGTGGAGGTCTTCTGCTGATGCACCTCCACTGCCAGCACATTCCCCCCCTGCTGCATCCATTTCTTTGTTGGTCGGTTTTGAGAATTCTCACAACCACCTTACTGCGGGGCAGGAGTGCAGGCAACGGCCTCTCTCTTGCTGGTAACCTGCACGTCGAACGTGAGCAGAGTGTTGGTGCTCCTCTGCTGATGCACCTCCACGGCTATCACATTCGCCCCCTGCTGCAGCCACCCGCCCGACAGAACAGACGGAACCCACCGCCACACATAGCCGCCCGTGGCGTTGGTGGCCGGCGTGACCGGGCCCTATGAGGGGGGCGGCATCTGGAAGCGGTATGCCTCGACACCGTTCAGGTACACCACCTGGTGAAGGGGGGATTAAAGACAAAGATAGCAGTGGGAAAGAGTGAGGTGCCGATGTGTAAGCCCCAGTGGTGGTGGTCATGGTGGTGGGAGTGACAGGGCCCCATGAAGCCGGCAGCATCTGGAAGCGGTATGGCTCGACCTTGTTCAGATACAGCACCTGGTAAGAGGGGGGGGGTGAGAGAAGGAGAGCAGTGGGAAAGAGTGAGGCACTGATGTTGAAGTCCCAGTGGTGGTGGTGGGGGTGACTGGGCCCCATCAGGGGGGGAGCATCTGGAAGCGGTATGGCTCGACGCCATTCAGATACACCACCTCTTGAGGGGGGTGAGAGAAGGAGAGCAGTGGGAAAGAGTGAGGCACTGATGTTGAAGTCCCAGTGGTGGTGGGGAGTTTTTGAGAATTCTCAAAAACGCCCTGCGACCGGGCCCGATGAGGCAGGCAGCATCTGGAAGCGGTATGCCTCAACGCCGTTCAGGTACAGCATCTGGTAAGAGGGGGGGGTGGAGGAGGGGAAAATGTGGGAAAATGAAGAAGCTTTGAGAAGAGTGAGGCACAGGGGCCCACACACGAGGCACAGTGGCAGCAGTGGGCGGCGTCTGGAAGGAAGCGATATGCCGCGACGCCGTTCAGGTACCTGGTGAGGAGGGATGGAGAGACGAAGAATGTTGGGCAACAGTGCGGCACTGGTGACAGGGACCCACACACGAGGCACAGTGGCAGCGGTGGGCGGCGTCTGGAAGGAAGCGATATGCCGCGACGCCGTTCAGGTACCTGGTGAGGAGGGATGGAGAGACGAAGAATGTTGGGCAACAGTGCGGCACTGGTGACAGGGACCCACACACGAGGCACAGTGGCAGCGGTGGGCGGCGTCTGGAAGGAAGCGATATGCCGCGACGCCGTTCAGGTACCTGGTGAGGAGGGATGGAGAGACGAAGAATGTTGGGCAACAGTGCGGCACTGGTGACAGGGACCCACACACGAGGCACAGTGGCAGTTGCAGTGGCAGTGGCAGGCGGCACTAAAACGTATACTAAACCTGAAACCCTAGCACAGCTGAAAGTACACCCCTGCACCCTGATGCGAGCACTGATGCGAGCACTGATGCGAGCACTGATGCAAGCACTGATGCGAGCACTGATGCAAGCACTGATGCGAGCACTGATGCAAGCACTGATGCGAGCACTGATGCAAGCACTGATGCGAGCACTGATGCAAGCACTGATGCGAGCACTGATGCAAGCACTGATGCGAGAACTGATGCGAGCACTGATGCGAGCACTGATGCGAGTGCTGATGCGAGCACTGATGCGAGCACTGATGCGAGCACTGATGCGAGCACTGATGCGAGCACTGATGCGAGCAGCACTCACAGCGCCATCAGCGATGTTGAAGGAGACGGTGAGGGCCACGTGGCAGGCAGCGTCGGTGACAGTGAAGGCGCGGCGGAAGTAGTGTGCCACCCGTGAGCCACTGGTGGTGCTGTTGAGGGTGAGGTTGGTGCCCGCCCTGTTGTTGCCCGCTGCTAGGGGCGCGGGGCCTGGGTGGTGGGGAAAGGGAAGGGGAGGGAAGGGGGGAAGAAGTGAGGGCCAGCCACGTGGCAGGTAGCATCAGTGACAGTGAAGGAGAAGCAGAAGTAGTGTGTCACACGGGGAGCCGCACGGGGAGAAGTGCTGGTGGCGGTGGGGGTGCTGGTGGTGCTGTTGAGGGTGAGGTTGGAGGCACCCTCAGCGTCACAGGAACAACCCCCTTCATCTATCAGCACTCTCAGCCCAACGGGACGCTCCTTTGTGCCATGCAGAGTCGTCGAAGGAGGGGAGGAACCAGGTGTCAGGGGGTGGCGGTGGCAGGACGGCAACCTTAGCGTCATAGGAACCACCCCCTCATCTATAGTGCTCTAAGCCCAGCGAGACGCACCTTTGAGCCATGCAGAATCTTCGAAGGAGGGCAGGAGCCAGGTGTCAGCAGGTGGCGGTGGCAGGGAGTGGGAGAGGCAGCACATGCCATAACCATGCAAGTCGCACCTTTGAGCCATGCAGAGTCATCAAATGAGGGCAGGAACCAGGTGTCAGGGTTGGGCGGTGGCAGGGAGGCGTCGTTGTAGGCCCATGTTGACCCTTGCTGTAGGCAGGCAGGGAGGGAAGCGCAGGGTAAGGAAGGGTGGGGGAGAGAGGGGAAGAACAGGGAAGGGAGAGTTGGAAGAGTGCGAGAAATGCCAGCAAGTGGGAGTAGGTAGTACGAGCAAATCTGAGCTGGCATGAATGGGGGACCCACATGGCGCATGGCGCATGGCGCATGGCGCATGGCGCATGGCGCATATTACATGGCACGGTGCATGGCACATATTACATGGCACATGGCGCATACTGCATGGCACGTGACACATGATACCCTGACATAAGGCAAAAGGGGAGCCTTGCAGCGCGGAGCAGGGCAAGTGTGAATGACTAGTGCCACCTGGGTGCCTGGCGCATGGCACATATTACATGGCACATGGCAGTGCCACCTGGGTGCCTGGCGCATGCCCGTCCATCCTAACCGTTTCTCTCACCACGAGCAGCAGAGAGTCTGAAGGGGGCGTGCGCACGCAGGCAGGGACGAGCCTTCGAGCGCAGAGCAGGGCAGCATGGCGCATGGCAGTTGATCCTAGGTGTGCGTGGGTCTCACCGCGAGCAGCAGAGTGTCAGCCAGGGGTGTGCGAATACAGGCAGAGGGCGAGCCCTCCAGAGCAGAGCAGGGCAGCATGGCACATGGCAGCTAATCCTATCCTAGGAGTGGGTGCATCTCACCGCGAGCAGCAGAGTGTCAGCCGGGGGCGTGCGCACGCAGGCAGAGGGCGAGCCTTCGAGGGCGGAGCAGGGGCGCATGGCATGGCGGGTGATCTCGATATCGAAGAGGGCGTCGCTGGACCAGCGCGACTGGTGCAGCTGCACTCCCACCCAGTTGGTTCCGGGCTGGTGTGGGGGAGGGGATGGGAACGGGATGGGAGGCAGAACAGGCAGAAGAGAAAGCGAGGGTTCAGGGCATGGGATGGTGCAGATTATCCTCGAAAGATATAAAAAAAATTCCCTGCAACACGAGGGAAGAGAGCAGGTGGCGGGTGAGCTCGAGATCAAAGAGGGCATCGCTGGGCCAGCGCAACTGATGCAGCTGCACTCCCACCCAGTTGGTGCCCGGCTGGTGTGGGGAGAAGTGAAGAGGAGTGAAGGGGAGACAAGAGATGCACATTGGGCCATGGGCAGGTGCTTGGACCAGCGCGACTGGTGCAGCTGCACTCCCACCCAGTTGGTGCCCGGCTGGTGTGGGGGAGGGAGGGGGAGACGAGGGATGGGATCATGGGAGGCATAGAAGGGACCGCAGTATGAGAGGGCATCGCTGGGCCAGCGCGACTGATGCAGCTGCACTCCCACCCAGTTGGTGCCCGGCTGGTGTGGGGAGAAGTGAAGGGGGTGAAGGGGAGACAAGAGATGCACATTGGGCCATGGGCAGGTGCTTGGACCAGCGCGACTGGTGCAGCTGCACTCCCACCCAGTTGGTGCTAGGCTGGTGGATACGGGAAGACACGAGGGAGAGGATGACAGGCACAGGCAGTAAGAGAGATGGAGTGTGGGGCATGGGATGGTGCAGGTTTTTGTTGTGGTTTTTCAAGATCGGAAGGGCACGTCCCACATGCCAGCAGCGGCGAAGAAAGAGGTCTCGAGACGGGAGATTGCTGCTGCACCGGAATTGAGGAGCGACAACAGACAGAGGTACCATGAAGGGGAAGGTAATACCTGGGGAAGGTAATACCTGGGGAAGGTAATACCTGGGGAAGGGTATTACCTGCAGGAACTGTGCAACAGAGCGGAAGGGCGTGCTGTTGAAGAAGGTGGTCTTATCGGCGCCCCACGTGCCGGTGGCAGCGAATGATGCAGAGGTGATAGGGCCAGCAGGCATGTTGGAGCGGAAGAACTCGGCCCCGTTCATCAGCAACACTGCTCCGTCGTCCCTCTGGATGGGTGCGGCTGTTGGAGGGGATGAGGAACAGGAAGGAAGACAGAAAGGGAGACTCAGAGGTAAGGGAGCGAGTGCAACTCAAAGTTGTTGACCTCCTCCTCTGTCAGCGCAAAGCTGTTGAGGAAGAAATCGGCGGAGTCACCACGACAGTAGGACGTGCGTGGAGGGAGAAAGGCGGTGGATCAATGGAAAAGGCACTCAGGAAGGGAGGGATTCACGTAAGGGAGGTATTCGGGTGAGGGAGGGAGAGCAACTCACTGTAGCTCCAGGTGTTGGCCTCCTCCTCTGTGAGTGCAACTCTTGAGGAAGAAGAGAAGAGAGGGATGCAGAGGATAAAAGTAGTTGACGAGAATGAGGGGGGACTTGGGGGATGATGGACTCACAGTAGCTCCAGGTGTTGTCGGCCTCCTCCTCTGTGAGTGCAAAGCTCTTGAGGAAGACGTAGGCGGAGTTGGCAACCAATGATGGGAGGGCTTTAGTGGAGGAAATGAGAGGAGGAAAGCGGAGTAGAGTGGAGAAGAGTGTAGGCGCGGGAGGAGGAAGGGATCGACTCACAGTAGCTCCAGGTGTTGTTGGCCTCCTCCTCTGTGAGTGCAAAGCTCTTGAGGAAGAAATAGGCGGAGTCACCACTGGTGAGCTGCGAGAGGTTGGTAGCCGTGACTGCCGCTGAGTTGTAGCCAAATGGTGCTGCTCCCTCCTTCAGCAGACGCGCTGGCATGTTGCTGTGGGGACACAAGGGCAGAGGGGAGTGGGAAGAGGTGGGGCAGGGACAGGAAGTTGGGCGAGAAGGCTTTAGGGCGAGAGGGCTTCACAGGAAGAAGTAGGCTAAGTTGTCAGTGGCGAGATGGAAGAGGTTGGATAGTGGCGGTCGAGAGTGACTTGAAACCGAAGGGGGCTACCTCTGCCTTGAGTAGGCGAGCTGGCACGTTGCTGTGGGAGCAGGGGAGGGGATGGAAATGCACGGTAAGGATGAGAGTCACAAGAGGATGGGAGAGGGGGCCGTGCGTCAGACACTGGTCTTTGCATTGAAGCGTACAAGGTATGAGGTCCCTGGGATCTAATCTAATCTCATCTCCATATAAAGCATCAGGTCCCCAAGGTCCAGGTGGTGTAGAACTGTGGCAGGTACCCCTTGTCATAATACAGCCAGCCGGCAGAGCTCTTGTTGATCACTGTGAGCCGCACGGTGAGAGGGCCATAGGGCAGGCCCTGACCCTTGAAGCACAGGGAGCAACACGTCCCATGCTGCCTTTCTCCCATGGTCCCATGGTCTCACGCTCACCTGTTGGTGCTCCAGGTGGGGTAGGTAGGACTGTGGCAGGTACCCCTTGTCATAGTACAGCCAGCCAGCAGCGCTCTTGTTGATCACTGTCAGTGGTGTGGTGAGAGGGCCGTAGGGTAGGCCCTGCCCCTTGAAGCAGACAAGGCATCAGTCCCATGCTCCCATGCTCACCTGTTGGTGCTCCAAGTGGGTAGGACTGTGGCAGGTACCCCTTATCGTAGTACAGCCAGCCAGCAGCGCTCTTGTTGATCACTGTGACGGGTGCGGTGAGAGGGCCGTACGGCAGGCACTGCCCCTTGAAGCACAGGGAGCCGTCGGCACAGTCGAGCCGAGCGGCGGTTGGAGAGGGCGAGTTGTCGATGAGTCCGTCACAATTGTCGTCAACGCCGTTGCAGCTGCAGGGGACAGGAGTGGGAGGAGAAACAGGGGAGAGAGGGGTGAGAAGGAGGATAGCACCTTCCACAGCAGGCACTGCCCCTTAAAGCACAGGGAGCCGTTAGCACAGTTGAGCTGAGGGGCGGCTGGGGAAGGCGAGCTGTCAATCAGGCCATCACAGTTGTCCTCCACACCGTTGCACATGCAAGGGGAGAGGAGAGCGGGATGAGTGGTGTGGGGGGGAAGAGGGAGGCGTTGGTTTGAGAGTCTTGGATATGAGGAAAGGGTTGATGAGGGAGTGAAGAAATGGGGAAGATGAGGGGGGAGAGGACTGACTCGAACAATCAAGGAAAGGATTCATCGGTACAGTCATGGCAGAAAGTGAAATTGAATCCTGGATCCTGTTTCATTTAACACATACTCACACTCCCCTCTGCAGCACTCACACTTGCCCTACACCAGTCACACTTCTTCTGCACCACTCACAATTCCAGGCCACGCAACGTCAAATTGCAAGCCTGAAAGCCCCATCGATGCACGTGTCCATCCATCATCACAACAGCCCTCTCCCGTTTTCCTGTTTACATAAACCCATGCACACCGCTCGTCACCCACGCACACCACTCACACTTCAGGCCCGTGCACGGGGGCAGTGCAGTTCTGAAACGCCCCATCGATGCACGTCTCTATTCCCGCCCCACAGGGGTTGCGGCACGGGCGGGTGAGAGGGCGGTCCGTGAGCGGATCAATGTCGATCTTGCCTAAAGTAGTGAAGCCGGAGGGGGGGGGGGAAGGGAGGGAGGGAGCGATATGAGGAGCCACGGAAGGGATGTGCACACATGGATGGTATGGGCGGGTGAGAGGGCGGTCCGTGAGTGGATCAATGTCCCTGTGGAATGAGGGGAGGGAGGGGAGGGGAGGGACGGATGTGGGGGGATATTATGTGCACACTGTAAACATGGGTGGCACGGGTGGGTGAGAGGGCGGTCCGTGAATGGATCTGTGTCCTCCTTGCCTGTGGATTGGGGGGAGGGGAGGGGAGGGAGAAGGAGAATATGAGGGAGGAACCATGGAAAGGATAAGATGGGGAGAGGGTGCGACTTACCACTGGAAGAGGAGAGGGTGAGTTGGGGAGAGGTTGATACGAGGGGAGGGTGAGATGGGGGCGTGGGCAATGATGGGAGGGAGAGGCATCAACAGCAGGGACGGGTGAGAGGCAGGGTGTGTGTTCCGTGATAGTTCAATCCCCCTCACCAACCCTCCACCCTCCCACCACCGTGCACCACCATCCACCATCGTCCACCACCATGCACCAACATGCACCACCATGCACCACCATGCACCACCATGCACCACCATGCACCGTTGCTCACCGTCGTTGTTGTTGTCGAGCCCGTCGCATACCTCCTGTAGAATGAGCACGCCACTGCATGTTGCGCTACTGCTCGGTGGGGAGAAGAGGGAGAGGGCGAGGGGAAGAGATGAGAGAGGAAAAGAGTGTGAAGAGAGTGAGAGAATTGAAGTCACCTCCTGCAGTATGAGCACGCCACTGCATGTTGCACTACTGCTCGGTGGGGAGAAGACGAGACGAGAAAGGAAAGGAGAGAGGAGAAGAATGAGGAGACGAGGTAGGAAGGAGAAGAGTGGAGAGAGATGGTGACAGCTTGAGGTCAGGGAGAGTGACGGCCACCAACCTCTCTGCCAGCAACCAACTACTCACATTATCTGTCAAAGCAACTCAAAACGCCCACCAACTCACTCCATCTGAGCAGACAGCTTGAGGTCGAAGAAGTTCTCAGTGGTCCACATGGCGGCACGTGATTGGTTGGCGATGTGGTTGGCAGCCCTTTGGCAATCCAATCCACCATACCTACCTCTACTCCTAACGACTCAACCTCCCTCATCCCCACCAACTCACTCCATCTGGGCGGACAGCTTGAGGTCAAAGAAGTTCTCAGTGGTCCAGATGGCAGCGTGTGATTCGGCGGCGATGTGGTTGGTGCCCTCGGCGAGAGAGAAAGGTGCCGTGGCGTTGAGAGGGATGAAGAATGACGTGTAGTCCCACACGTTCTGATTCGATAAGGCCTGGAGGGGTGTGGAAGGTGGGGCGATGAGAGGGATGAAGAAGGACGTGTAGTCCCACACGTTCTGGTTTGACAGGGCCTGGAGGGGTGTGGATGGTGGGGGTGAGGAAAGAGAGGAGGGATGAGGGGGAATGAGGGAAAGAAGGAAAGGAGAAGGGTGCTGTGGCGTCGAGTGGGATGAGGAAGGGTGAGTACTCCCGCACGTTCTGCGAGATGTTACATGGATGCATGCGGCCCCGTGGCACATGCATGCACAGCCGCACACTGTCTTGGGGTGACTTTTGAGCCACTACTTGCACTCCCCTCACCAGCATATTGCTGTATGATGCTAGTCTCACCCTGGACGACACGTTGACGGCACCGGGAGCCATGTTGGCTCGCAGCATCTCCACCCCGTTAAGATAGAGGAGTACGCCATCGTTCACTATCACGTCCACATACAGCCCCGTGGCACACGCGCTGTTGGCCACTCGGAACGGCCGCCGGTAGTAGAAGGTGGGCAGGGCGTCGCCTGAAGGGGGTGTCCACGTGTTGATGCCGCCCCACCGCCCTGGTGGATTGTTAAAGGTGGGATATGGAGAGAAAGGGACAGAAGCATGTGTGAACACCACGTGTTGAGCGAGTTCTCATAGTTCTGTTATGGAATGAGAGCTCTGCAGTCGTGGAAGGTCGGCAGGGCGTCCCCTGAGGGAGTGTACATGTGTCTCTTGAGGGGACACATATGGCCTCTTGAGTCGACTCAAAAGTCACCTGAGGGAGTGTCCATGTGTCCATGTGTCTCTTGAGGGGACACATGTGGCCTCTGCCCGTGCCTGCTGCATGCAGCTCCCTGCCGCTCTGGCTGTCTGTCAGTACCCACATGCCATTTCCCGCACACACACACACGTACAACCACATGCCTACACCCCCACACACCACATGCCAGCCCCCCCACGCACGTACATCCCACATAGTCGATGAGATGATAGCGGGTCCCCTGGGCCAGGAGGCGTCGTTGAAGCGCGGAGCGGAGAGCTGAAGCCCATGGCGCCCGTCACTGCTGCATGCAGCTCCCTGCCGCTCACGCTGTCTCTCTGTTCCCACATTCCTTCACCCACATGCCATGCCCACAGCCACACACCACCACATGCCAGTCATATTCACACGCACGTACATCCCACATAGCCGATGATAGCGGGTCCCCTGGGCCAGGAGGCGTCGTTGAAGCGCGGCGAGCTGAAGCCCATGGCGCCCGACACTGCTGCATGCAGCTCCCTGCCGCTCACGTCGTATGCCCATGTGGACCCCGGTGCCACGAGACCGCAGCGACTGGCAGACAAGAAGGAAGAGAGATGGCAACAGAAGTGTTTAGTACAAGCACTGCTGCATGCAGCTCCCTGCCACTCACGTCGTATGCCCACGTGGACCCCGGTGCCACGGGACCGCAGCGACTGGTGGTAAGGGGTGGGGGATGGGGGCGTGATACAGGGGGGGGAAGAAAAAAATTAGTTGGTCACAATAAGCTCTGCTCAGCTCCCTGCCGCTCACGGCATACGTCCACGTGGACCCCGGTGCTATGAACGCACAGCGCTGGCGGTGAGGGGTGTGTGGAGAGGGGGGGAGGAGGAAGCAATAAGTGGGAAGCTAAAAATTGCTGCATGCAGTTCCTTACCGCTTACTAGGGGAGGCGCTTACTAGGGGAGGCGCTTACTAGGGGAGGCACTTACTAGGGAAGGCGGCAACCGGTGACGGGGTCGGGGGAGGCGCGGAGCACGATGGGATTCGAAGAGGTTCCGTCAAAAGAGAGCTCGATGGTGGGCTTGAACTTGAAGCACACGAATGAAAACTGCACTGCCGCTTTGTCTGATGTGCCAGCACAGGCCCTGGGAGAGAGAGAAAGGAGGGGGGGATGGGGGTAGTGCATAGTCGAATCAAAGCAATGAGAATAATGCACATCTGCCGGTTGTGCATCACCACACCACCATCAGCACCAGCAGCAGCAGCAGCAGCAGCAGCACTACTTACTTCCAGTTCTAATCCACTGGTGCTCTGCTTGGCTGCGATCCTCGGCTCCACTACTCACGCACTCATGTGATCAAACCCGTAACAGACAGTAGCAACACCACGAGCGCCAGCACCACCAGTACCAGGGCCAGCCACTTCCAGTTCACGTCTTGCTCCTCATTGATTGATCATCCACTGGTTGCTCTGCCTCGCTGAGATCCTCAGAGTCACGGGCCCGCCACACCAATAACGCATCACATGACCACTCTAGCAACACACAACAGCAGCACCAGCAGAGGCACCGTCGCTCACTTCCAATTGACGTCTTGCTCCTCATTGATCATCCATTGGTTGCTCTGCCTTGCAAGATCCTCAGAGGCACGGGCCAGCCCACTAATGCATCATGGGATGTGATCACACCCCGCAACAAACAGTAGAAGCAACATGAGGAGCTGAACTCACTTCCAGTTCACGTCTTGCTCCTCATTGATCATCCATTGGTTGCTCTGCCTTGCAAGATCCTCAGAGGCACGGGCCAGCCCACTAATGCATCATGGGATGTGATCACACCCCGCAACAAACAGTAGAAGCAACATGAGGAGCTGAACTCACTTCCAGTTCACGTCTTGCTCCTCATTGATCATCCATTGGTTGCTCTGCCTTGCAAGATCCTCAGAGGCACGGGCCAGCCCACTAATGCAGGATGTGATCACACCCCGCAACAAACAGTAGAAGCAACACGAGGAGCTGAACTCACTTCCAGTTCACGTCTTGCTCCTCATTGATCATCCATTGGTTGCTCTGCCTTGCAAGATCCTCAGAGGCACGGGCCAGCCCACTAATGCATCATGGGATGTGATCACACCCCGCAACAAACAGTAGAAGCAACATGAGGAGCTGAACTCACTTCCAGTTCACGTCTTGCTCCTCATTGATCATCCATTGGTTGCTCTGCCTTGCAAGATCCTCAGAGGCACGGGCCAGCCCACTAATGCATCATGGGATGTGATCACACCCCGCAACAAACAGTAGAAGCAACATGAGGAGCTGAACTCACTTCCAGTTCACGTCTTGCTCCTCATTGATCATCCATTGGTTGCTCTGCCTTGCAAGATCCTCAGAGGCACGGGCCAGCCCACTAATGCAGGATGTGATCACACCCCGCAACAAACAGTAGAAGCAACATGAGGAGCTGAACTCACTTCCAGTTCACATCCACTGGTTGCTCTGCTTGGCTGTGATCCTCAGAGGCACCGGCCCCACTACTAACGCACTCATGTGGTCAAACCCGTAACAGACAGTAGCAACACCACCAGCGCCAGCACCACCAGTACCAAGGCCACTCACTTCCAGTTCACGTCTTGCTCCTCGTTGATCATCCACTGGTTGCTCTGCTTCACCGGAATCCTCAGAGTAACGGGCCCGCCGCACCCGTTGCTGTCGCGCACTTGCACCGTGATGTTGCTGGGGAAGAAGGCGCGGTTGTTACCCGGTAACCCTATGTTGACCTCGTAGGTGGCGTTCGCCAGCAGGGGCACCACGAAGATGCGCTGGCCTGCCGCCCACATGTTGCCCACCGACCGCAGATTGCCATCCACTGTGATCACTGTGTCGTCCTCTATGCGCCGAATGGCGAGGTAGGGATGGGGAAAGGGTAGCAGGGAGATAGAACGAGGGTTCTTTGGAGGATTATCAAAAATCACTGTGTCGTCCTGCACACAGAGCACAGATTGCCGTCCACTGTGATCGCTGTGTCGTCCTCTATGCGCCGAATGGAGAGATAGCTGGATGGGTGGGGAGAGGGTAGCAGGGGGGTAGGATGAGGGTGAAAAATCCAGGGATACATAGAGAATGTGCGCTCTATGTGCTCCTGTGTTGCCCACCGACCGCAGGTTGCCGTCCACTGTGATCACTGTGTCGTCCTCTATGCAGCGGATCGAGAGGTAGATGGATGAATGAGTAGAGTTTGAATAGAATACAGGAAGGGTAGAATATGCAGGGATTGCCGTTACACATTGCCGTCCACTGTTATCACTGTGCCGCCGTTTATGTGGCGAATGGAAAGGTAGCTGGGTGGGTGGGGAGAGGAGAGGGTAGCAGGGAGAGTGGGGGCAGCAGGGAGGAGGGGGTAGCAAGGAGAGGTCTAACCACAAGGGCCACCACAAGCCCTCCTGTTCCCCACACACCATCAACACCACTCAGTCCCACTTCATATCCAGCATTCATTCTCCCCTCCCTGCGTCATCTGAAGTCTAAGGGCTTGCGTGTCTCAGGCACGCTGCTGTTCTCATAAACAGCAAACCCCGGCTCGAGATACGAGAACACGATGGTGGGATGCGATAGCAGGTCCCCGCACAGGCTTGCTAGTTCACTCACCCCCCTCTCCCCCTGATTCTTACCTGAAGTCTCCTCTCTTCCGTGTGTCAGGAATACTGCTGTTCTCATACACAGCAAACCCCGGCTCCAGATAAGTAAACATGACAGTGCGGTAGCACGTCCCAGGGCAGGCAAACGCGTTCCAAGCGGGCATGGGCTGGCATGCAGAGAAGCGCTTGGTGGGGGGCAGAAGAGCGGTGTTGTTGGCCAGTAGGTAGCCTCCGGCAGTGGCGTTTAGGAGCGAGCCGTCTTTGTCCCAGAGAGTGTAGAGGTCTGTTGCCTCACCGCCCAGGTTCACATCTCCTCCCTGGGTGGGTGGGAGTTAGCGGATGGGGAATAAAGAGAAAGGAAGGCAGCAGAGACAGGGTGGGTCGTGAACAGCGCTTCAGGGTTTGGAGCGGTGTTGTTGGCCAGTAGGTAGCCTCCTGAAGAGGCCTTCAGGAGCGAGCCGTCTTTGTCCCAGAGAGTGTACAGGTCTGTTGCCTCCCCGCTCAGGTTCACGTCCCCGCCCTGCGTGGGGAATGGCGGGTAAGACGCAGAGAACCGGGGGCAGCAGGGCGGTGTTGTTGGCCAGCAGGTAGCCTCCGGAAGTGGCGTTGAGGAGAGAGCCGTCTTTGTCCCAGAGAGTGTACAGGTCTGTTGCCTCCCCGCCCATTTTCACGTCCCCGCCCTGGGTGGATGGGGTGGGGAGTATTCGGTGGGGAGTGAGCAGGAAGGAAGGCAGCAGAGACAGGATGGCAGTTGGTTGCGGGAATGAGAGGGGTGACTGACAGCTGGCATAGAGTGCTGTGCTGTAGGTTGTTCAATAGACGGCAATAAGGTATTAGATGGATACTCTGCTGTTATGTACGATGTTTGTACGGTACGGCACCCACGCAGCAAGCAGCAGCCAGACACTCAGGGAAAAAAGCAGCCGCAGCACTTACCTGCACACTGGTGGCCGTGGCCCACGTGTCCTTGGGAGCTCCGTTGATGCCTGTGCCCATGGCAGGTGGCAGGGCCCTTGTACCGGCAGCTAGTCATATGCCACACAGCATGGCCCTCACTCACCCGACAGTCAACAGCCACGGGCTATGTGGTAACCACCCCACTCACCTGCACACTGGTGGCCGTGGCCCACGTGTCCTTGGGAGCTCCGTTGATGCCTGTGCCCATGGCAGGTGGCAGGGCCCTTGTACCGGCAGCTAGTCATATGCCACACAGCATGGCCCTCACTCACCCGACAGTCAACAGCCACGGGCTATGTGGTAACCACCCCACTCACCTGCACACTGGTGGCCGTGGCCCACGTGTCCTTGGGAGCTCCGTTGATGCCTGTGCCCATGGCAGGTGGCAGGGCCCTTGTACCGGCAGCTAGTCATATGCCACACAACATGGCCCTCACTCACCCGACAGTCAACAGCCACGGGCTATGTGGTAACCACCCCACTCACCTGCACACTGGTGGCCGTGGCCCACGTGTCCTTGGGAGCTCCGTTGATGCCTGTGCCCATGGCAGGTGGCAGGGCCCTTGTACCGGCAGCTAGTCATATGCCACACAACATGGCCCTCACTCACCCGACAGTCAACAGCCACGGGCTATGTGGTAACCACCCCACTCACCTGCACACTGGTGGCCGTGGCCCATGTGTCCTTGGGAGCTCCGTTGATGCCCGCGCCAATGGCAGCAGCTAGGCGGCATGTGCTGTCATATGTGGAACCTGCAAAGGGGTTCAGTGCGGTGAAGCCAAGTGGGGCGCCATGGTGTGTGTGAGGTTCCAAGGGGTGCAGTGCAGTGGGGAGGGATGAGATGGAGTGCGGAACGAGGTCGGGGAATGAGGTTGGGGAAAGAGGTTGGGGAGAAAGCCGGTGTACAAATTCACAGAGAGGCAACGGATGGACAGGAGCGGACGGGTGGGTGGACAGAGAGTAGGGTCTTGAGGCGGCTCACCGGCAGTTGGAGATGGCATGGGCGCGGGCGAAGTCGAATCCAAAGGTGGGATGGTCGATGATGATTCCAAAGATGGGGTTCTTCCAGTGCGACCACCCCTGTGACCGCCCCTGCTGCCCAGCAGCCAGGGGGAAGCTGCAATGCAAGAGGGAAATACATGCCCACAGGTGCACAGCACGCACACAGAGTGATGATGGCATGTCAAACACGGGGTTCTTGACGTGGCTCCAACCCCTGCGACCGCCCCTGCTGCCCGGCAGCCAAGGGGAACATGTGTGGGGGTTACGGGCTGGGGAAAGACACGCACGAACAGGAGCTTTGAGCCATTTACTCGCGATGCTCCACACTCCCTTTGATACCTCACCCCCTCTCCTCCCTAACTCCCTCTGCTCCCTAACTCCCTCTGCTCCCTCACTCCCCCTGATCCGTAACTCCCTCTGCTCCCTCACTCCCTCTGCTCCCTCACTCCCCCTGATCCGTAACTCCCTCTGCTCCCGCACTCCCTCCGCTCCCTCACTCCTTCCGCTCCCTCACTTCCTCTGATCCCTCACTTTCTCCTCCCTCACCCCCTCTGCTCCCCATCAGCACTCACTCGCAGCCGGAGACAGAGCCACACATCTGCGGATTGGAGTCACACATGCGCGGGTTGCCATAGTTGGTTGGTTGGGGGACAGCCAACACACACACCGGCACTCACCCTCCCAGGCTATACTCACTCGCAGCCAGACACAAAGCCTCCCTCACTCCTGCTCCCTCGCTCCCCTCTTTTCCCACGCAATACTCACTCGCAGCCGGCAGGGCCACACATCTGGGGCGTGGAGTCGCACATGCACGGGTTGCCATAGTAGGGAGACACCCCCACGAACACCAAGGGGGCTGTCTGTCATTCTCACTCCCTTCCCTCTCTCCCCCTGCCCCACCCCAACACTCACTCGCAGCCGGTGACCGGCCCACACATCTGCGGAGTCGAGTCACACATGCGCGGGTTGCCATAGTTGGGGGTAACCCCAATGAACCGGCTGTTAGTGACCTTCAGTCTCTCCTTCCGCTCCCTCACTCCCTCTGGTTCCTTGATCTCTCTCCCACTACACTCATTCTTTCCCGCAATAAACACTCACTCGCAGCCGGTGACCGGCCCACACATCTGGGGCGTGGAGTCACACATGCGCGGGTTGCCATAGTTGGGGGTCACCCCAATGAACCGGCTGTCGGTGACCTTCACGCCCGTGTTTCCCAGCAGGTTCAGCCCCTGCCGGTTGTCCGCAAACGTGCTGTTGGTGATTATGAGCCCGTCTGAATTGTGCACGAACAAACTGGTGTGGGGGGAAAGGGCCGGAGGGGGGAGAAAGGTTCCGATGGGGGGGTTGCAAAGGTGGGAGGAGAAGGGAGCAAGGGAGGGCGCGGGGGTTAAGGTGAGGTGTTGCCCAGCAGGCTGAGCCGCTGCCTGTTGTCAGCGAACGTGCTGTTGGTGATGATGACGCTGTCTGAATTGTGCATGAAGAAACTGGTGTGCGTGGGGTGGGGGGGAGGAGAAGGGGTGGGGTGGGGGAGTGGGGAAGAGACGGTGTTTCCCTGTAGGCTAAATCCTCAGAAGGACTGATTGCGGCTGTCAGTGACACTCATGCCCGTGTCACCCAGCAGGTTGAGCCCCTGGCGGTTGTCAGCGACCGTGCTGTTGGTGATGATGACGCCGTCTGAGTTGTGCATGAAGAAGCTGGCGAGGAGGGGGGTGGGGAGTGGGAAGATGGGGGAAAAGGGTGGCGAGGGGGGTTTGGTGGGAAACGCTGGCCATAGGGAAGCTAGTGCGGCATGGGCTGGTCAGGGAGACAAAGCATGGGCCTGTTAGAGCTGTCCCAGGGGCTGAGACACGCGCCCGCTAGCTGCCCCTTGTACCACTCATCGCCCCTCCAAACCACTCACCCATCCCCGGATTGCTTGTAGAGCAGCAGCCCGCTGATGGTTCCTGTAGACGGCTTCCACTGCCACTGCGGTTGGGGCGAGAGGTGGGGTGGAGTGGTGAGAGGTTTGAGGGTTTGTGCACACACACACACACACACACACACACACACACACACACACACACACACACACACATGCATTGTGCAGGCGAGTGCCAACCCTCTGATGGTGCGCCAGCCCGGCCCTCTGTTGCTGTGGGCCACGTGCATTCTGCACGGCCCACTCTCCTGCCATGCATCCCTACCTGAGGGATAGGCGAATCCAGAGACCAAATCTGCCTGGGTCGCACCCCCTTGGGGTAAGTCCTCCACCCCGGCCCTCGGTTGCTGTGGTGGGGTGGGGCGTGTGCTGCTCTCCTGCTCCGCTGACTTCCTGCTTCCCTCTCTGCGTACCTGGGGGATAGGAGAGTCCAGAGACCAGGTTTACCGCGGCCGCACCCCCTTGGGATAAGTCCTCCACCCCGGCCCCCTGTTGCTGTGGGCCACGTGCATCCCGTGCTGTTTACTCTCCTCCCTTGCTCTTTACGATTCCTTACCTGGGGGATAGGAGAGTCCAGCGACCAAGTCTGCCTGGGTCGCACCCCCTTGGGGTACGTCCTCCATCCCGGCCCTCGGTTGCTGTGAGCCACGTTGTCACGGTAGATGCCAAAGGGGCCGTTGGCCGGCACGGTGGCGTTGAGCCCGGGGTAGGAGAGCGTGAATCCGCGCACTCGGTCCCTCAGCTCCATCCAATAGCTGGTTAATGGGGGAAGGAGAGCGAAAGTGCATGAAGCAAAGGAGGGAGAAAGGCAACAGTCAAACGCCAAGGAGGGCACGGTGGCGTTGGGCCCGGGGTAGGAGGGCGTGAATCCGCGCACTTGGTCCCTCAGCTCCATCCAATAACTGGTTGGTTGGGGGGTTGTGTGCGGGAGGGAGGGGAGCAAAGTTGTAAGGGCACGAGGTGGAAAGGTTGTAGCCTCGTCCCTACCCTATCTGTACCAATCGATTGATCCGTCCCTCCACGCTCACAGTCACACTTGCACGGACTCACAACCACCCCACCCCGAGTTCTCAGAGCCAGCGGCATCATAGCCGCTGAAGGGGCTGTTGTTGGGGTGAATGGTGATCCAGAAGATGGTGAGGTTTGTCAAACTCCAGTCTGCCTGTCTGCCATCACTCACTTGCTCTCACAGTCACACTTGCACGGACTCACAACCACCCCACCCCCAGTTCTCAGAGCCAGCGGCATCATAGCCGCCGAAGGGGCTGTTGTTGGGGTGAATGGTGATCCAGAAGATGGTGAGGTTTGTCAAACTCCAGTCTGCCTGTCTGCCATCACTCACTTGCTCTCACAGTCCCACTTGCACGGACTCACAACCACCCCACCCCCAGTTCTCAGAGCCAGCGGCATCATAGCCGCCGAAGGGGCTGTTGTTGGGGTGAATGGTGATCCAGAAGATGGTGAGGTTTGTCAAACACCAGTCTGCCTGTCTGCCATCACTCACTTGCTCTCACAGTCCCACTTGCACGGACTCACAACCACCCCACCCCCAGTTCTCAGAGCCAGCGGCATCATAGCCGCCGAAGGGGCTGTTGTTGGGGTGAATGGTGATCCAGAAGATGGTGAGGTTTGTCAAACTCCAGTCTGCCTGTCTGCCATCACTCACTTGCTCTCACAGTCCCACTTGCACGGACTCACAACCACCCCACCCCCAGTTCTCAGAGCCAGCGGCATCATAGCCGCCGAAGGGGCTGTTGTTGGGGTGAATGGTGATCCAGAAGATGGTGAGGTTTGTCAAACTCCAGTCTGCCTGTCTGCCATCACTCACTTGCTCTCACAGTCACACTTGCACGGACTCACAACCACCCCACCCACCCACCTCACTCACAACCCACCCCGAGTTTTCAGAGCCAGCGGCGACGTTCCCAATGAAGTTGTTGTTGGGGTTGGTGATCCAAAACGTGGACGGGTTGTTGCCGCCGCTGTAATCAGAACGCACCCCTGTCTGTCTGTGATGGTGATGGGCTACTTTCTCCTCGTGCGCGTGCACCCAATCAGAATGCGCCCTAATCGGAACATACCCCGAGTTCTCAGAGCCAGCAGCGACGTTCCCAATGAAGTTGTTGTTGGGGTTGGTGATCCAAAACGTGGACGGGGCGTCGTCCGTCTCCTCCGTCTTGGTGGGGTCGGCTGCTGACAGCGGGATGAGCACCTCCACTGGTAGAGGGTATTGGTAGGAACGAAGAGAGGAGAGGAGAGAAGGGTCAGGGGGGGTTAAGCGATGTGCACGTGAGAAGGTGGCCGGGACGCCGTCCGTCTCCTCCGTCTTGGTGGGGTCGGCTGCTGACAGCGGGATGAGCACCTCCACTGTTGGGGGGGAAGGGTGGGAGAGAGGGAATGTAGAGGAAAGAACGGGAGAAAGAATAAGGAAGGAGGGCGAAGGGTAGGTGAGAAGATGGCCGGGTTGTCGTCTGTCTCCTCCGTCTTGGTGGGGTCGGCTGCTGACAGCAGGATGAGCACCTCCATCGTTGAGGACATTGGTAGGAAAGAAGAGAGGAGATCAATGCCAAGGGTAGGCGCACAATAAGGTGGACCGATGAGAGCGGGATGAGCGCCTTCACTGATAGGAAAGGGGGGGAGGGGTGGTGGGGTAAGGGGAGAGATGAAAGGGAGTAAGGCAAGCAATGGTCACATGAGAAGGTGGAGGGGTTGTCGTCCGACTCCTCCGTCTTGGTGGGATCGGATGAGAGCAGAATGAGCACCTCCACTGTGGAAGGGTATTGCAAGAGAGGAGGAGGATAGGAAAAGCATGTGCGATGTGCACATGAGAAGGTGGGTGGCGGCCTGTTGTCTGCCTGCTCCGACCTGACTTGGTGGGGTTGGATAAGAGTGGGATGAGCACCTCCCTGATAGGGTGGGAGGGATGGTGGGAGGGTGTTGAAAGGGAGGAAGACATTCCATGGGCACATGAGAAGGTGGCCGGGTTGTCGTCCGTCTTCTTTGCTGGATGCCACTGAGGGATTCGCTTGCACCTCCACTCCACTGTTAGGGGGGACAGGAGAGAGGGGCAGGTACGGGAAGGAGGTGGGGAGAGGAGAGGAGAGGAGAGGAGAGGAGGAGGAAGAAGGAAGAGAGAAGTGCAACAAGGTATGGGTGCAGAAGGCCCATCCTTTGTTCCGATGGTTGATTGATGGGTCGTTGCATCGGAACAGCGCTTGCCTGAATCACCATCTCGTGTCCAGATTCACCGCACCTGCTCTTGACCAGATTAACCACACCTGCGCGCGTCCAGATGCCGAGGTTGCGCAGGAAGGTGTTGTCGGTCTCGCCCTCCTCTAGGTGCTCCCTACTCTGTGGCTCGCACCCCACCCTACCCTGTGCCCCACCACATATGCACGTGTCTAGATTCACCGCACCTGCACGAGTCCAGATGCCGAGGTTGCGCAGGAAGGTGTTGTCGGTCTCGCCCCCCTCCTCCACCATGAAGCAGTGCCCCCTCGTGTGGTACGCCACATTTTCTTCGACCGTGAGATTGAAGGTCGTGTGCACCACCACACAGCGCTGGTGGGATGGGATGGGAGGATGATAGGAAGAGAGCAAAGAGCAGACAGTCAGTGCCGGTCTCGCCCCCCTCCTTTCTCTTTTCTCCTTTCTCCTCCACCATGAAGCAGTGCCCCCTCGTGTGGTATGCCACGTTCTCCTCCACCGGCAGATTGAAGGTTGTGTGCACCACCACACAGCGCTGGGGGGGAGGGGATGCAAGAGCAAAGAAAGAGCATACGGTGGTGAGAGCAAGGAGGGTCATTGTGTTGCCAGTCTCTCCTCCCTCCTTTCTCCTCCACCATGAAGCAGTGCCCCCTCGTGTGCACCACCACACAGCGTCAGTCAGGTTGAACGTCGTGTGCACCACCACACAGCGCTGGTGATGAAGGGAGGAGAAGAGGAAGAGAGCAAAGAGCAAAGAGCATACGGTGAAAGCAAGGAAGGTTGAACGTCGCGTGCACCACCACACAGCGGTGAAGAAGAGGGAACACAGGGAGACGCAGCAGCAAGACAAGAAGGTGCTGCGAGTGGGAAATGACAGGTGCGGCACTCCTCACTTTCTCCCCACTACCACCCCTCTCTCACCTGTGTGCTCCCTCCCACCCTTCACCTGCTTCTCACCAACTTCATAGTTGGATGGATATAATGCGCCTCTCATCGCCCTCATGACGTTCTTCCGCACCACGCTGCGACCCTGGTCATCCTCGCATATTGCCCCAGATTCACCTTCTGCTCCCACCCCTCTCTCACCCGCTCCCTGCCACCCCACCCCTCTATCACCCGCTCCCCACCACCCAATCCCTCTCTCGCCTGCTCCCCACCACCCAATCCCTCTCTCGCCTGCTCCCCACCACCCAATCCCTCTCTCGCCTGCTCCCCACCACCCAATCCCTCTCTCGCCTGCTCCCCACCACCCAATCCCTCTCTCGCCTGCTCCCCACCACCCAATCCCTCTCTCGCCTGCTCCCCACCACCCAATCCCTCTCTCGCCTGCTCCCCACCACCCAATCCCTCTCTCGCCTGCTCCCCACCACCCAATCCCTCTCTCACCCGCTCCCTGCCACCCCACCCCTCTATCACCCGCTCCCCACCACCCAATCCCTCTCTCGCCTGCTCCCCACCACCCAATCCCTCTCTCGCCTGCTCCCCACCACCCAATCCCTCTCTCGCCTGCTCCCCACCACCCAATCCCTCTCTCGCCTGCTCCCCACCACCCAATCCCTCTCTCGCCTGCTCCCCACCACCCAATCCCTCTCTCGCCTGCTCCCCACCACCCAATCCCTCTCTCGCCTGCTCCCCACCACCCAATCCCTCTCTCGCCTGCTCCCCACCACCCAATCCCTCTCTCACCCGCTCCCTGCCACCCCACCCCTCTATCACCCGCTCCCCACCACCCAATCCCTCTCTCGCCTGCTCCCCACCACCCAATCCCTCTCTCGCCTGCTCCCCACCACCCAATCCCTCTCTCGCCTGCTCCCCACCACCCAATCCCTCTCTCGCCTGCTCCCCACCACCCAATCCCTCTCTCGCCTGCTCCCCACCACCCAATCCCTCTCTCGCCTGCTCCCCACCACCCAATCCCTCTCTCGCCTGCTCCCCACCACCCAATCCCTCTCTCGCCTGCTCCCCACCACCCAATCCCTCTCTCACCCGCTCCCTGCCACCCCACCCCTCTATCACCCGCTCCCCACCACCCAATCCCTCTCTCGCCTGCTCCCCACCACCCAATCCCTCTCTCGCCTGCTCCCCACCACCCAATCCCTCTCTCGCCTGCTCCCCACCACCCAATCCCTCTCTCGCCTGCTCCCCACCACCCAATCCCTCTCTCGCCTGCTCCCCACCACCCAATCCCTCTCTCGCCTGCTCCCCACCACCCAATCCCTCTCTCGCCTGCTCCCCACCACCCAATCCCTCTCTCGCCTGCTCCCCACCACCCAATCCCTCTCTCACCCGCTCCCTGCCACCCCACCCCTCTATCACCCGCTCCCCACCACCCAATCCCTCTCTCGCCTGCTCCCCACCACCCAATCCCTCTCTCGCCTGCTCCCCACCACCCAATCCCTCTCTCGCCTGCTCCCCACCACCCAATCCCTCTCTCGCCTGCTCCCCACCACCCAATCCCTCTCTCGCCTGCTCCCCACCACCCAATCCCTCTCTCGCCTGCTCCCCACCACCCAATCCCTCTCTCGCCTGCTCCCCACCACCCAATCCCTCTCTCGCCTGCTCCCCACCACCCAATCCCTCTCTCGCCTGCTCCCCACCACCCAATCCCTCTCTCGCCTGCTCCCCACCACCCAATCCCTCTCTCGCCTGCTCCCCACCACCCAATCCCTCTCTCGCCTGCTCCCCACCACCCAATCCCTCTCTCGCCTGCTCCCCACCACCCAATCCCTCTCTCGCCTGCTCCCCACCACCCAATCCCTCTCTCGCCTGCTCCCCACCACCCAATCCCTCTCTCGCCTGCTCCCCACCACCCAATCCCTCTCTCGCCTGCTCCCCACCACCCAATCCCTCTCTCGCCTGCTCCCCACCACCCAATCCCTCTCTCGCCTGCTCCCCACCACCCAATCCCTCTCTCGCCTGCTCCCCACCACCCAATCCCTCTCTCGCCTGCTCCCCACCACCCAATCCCTCTCTCGCCTGCTCCCCACCACCCAATCCCTCTCTCGCCTGCTCCCCACCACCCAATCCCTCTCTCGCCTGCTCCCCACCACCCAATCCCTCTCTCGCCTGCTCCCCACCACCCAATCCCTCTCTCGCCTGCTCCCCACCACCCAATCCCTCTCTCGCCTGCTCCCCACCACCCAATCCCTCTCTCGCCTGCTCCCCACCACCCAATCCCTCTCTCGCCTGCTCCCCACCACCCAATCCCTCTCTCGCCTGCTCCCCACCACCCAATCCCTCTCTCGCCTGCTCCCCACCACCCAATCCCTCTCTCGCCTGCTCCCCACCACCCAATCCCTCTCTCGCCTGCTCCCCACCACCCAATCCCTCTCTCGCCTGCTCCCCACCACCCAATCCCTCTCTCGCCTGCTCCCCACCACCCAATCCCTCTCTCGCCTGCTCCCCACCACCCAATCCCTCTCTCGCCTGCTCCCCACCACCCAATCCCTCTCTCGCCTGCTCCCCACCACCCAATCCCTCTCTCGCCTGCTCCCCACCACCCAATCCCTCTCTCGCCTGCTCCCCACCACCCAATCCCTCTCTCGCCTGCTCCCCACCACCCAATCCCTCTCTCGCCTGCTCCCCACCACCCAATCCCTCTCTCGCCTGCTCCCCACCACCCAATCCCTCTCTCGCCTGCTCCCCACCACCCAATCCCTCTCTCGCCTGCTCCCCACCACCCAATCCCTCTCTCGCCTGCTCCCCACCACCCAATCCCTCTCTCGCCTGCTCCCCACCACCCAATCCCTCTCTCGCCTGCTCCCCACCACCCAATCCCTCTCTCGCCTGCTCCCCACCACCCAATCCCTCTCTCGCCTGCTCCCCACCACCCAATCCCTCTCTCGCCTGCTCCCCACCACCCAATCCCTCTCTCGCCTGCTCCCCACCACCCAATCCCTCTCTCGCCTGCTCCCCACCACCCAATCCCTCTCTCGCCTGCTCCCCACCACCCAATCCCTCTCTCGCCTGCTCCCCACCACCCAATCCCTCTCTCGCCTGCTCCCCACCACCCAATCCCTCTCTCGCCTGCTCCCCACCACCCAATCCCTCTCTCGCCTGCTCCCCACCACCCAATCCCTCTCTCGCCTGCTCCCCACCACCCAATCCCTCTCTCGCCTGCTCCCCACCACCCAATCCCTCTCTCGCCTGCTCCCCACCACCCAATCCCTCTCTCGCCTGCTCCCCACCACCCAATCCCTCTCTCGCCTGCTCCCCACCACCCAATCCCTCTCTCGCCTGCTCCCCACCACCCAATCCCTCTCTCGCCTGCTCCCCACCACCCAATCCCTCTCTCGCCTGCTCCCCACCACCCAATCCCTCTCTCGCCTGCTCCCCACCACCCAATCCCTCTCTCGCCTGCTCCCCACCACCCAATCCCTCTCTCGCCTGCTCCCCACCACCCAATCCCTCTCTCGCCTGCTCCCCACCACCCAATCCCTCTCTCGCCTGCTCCCCACCACCCAATCCCTCTCTCGCCTGCTCCCCACCACCCAATCCCTCTCTCGCCTGCTCCCCACCACCCAATCCCTCTCTCGCCTGCTCCCCACCACCCAATCCCTCTCTCGCCTGCTCCCCACCACCCAATCCCTCTCTCGCCTGCTCCCCACCACCCAATCCCTCTCTCGCCTGCTCCCCACCACCCAATCCCTCTCTCGCCTGCTCCCCACCACCCAATCCCTCTCTCGCCTGCTCCCCACCACCCAATCCCTCTCTCGCCTGCTCCCCACCACCCAATCCCTCTCTCGCCTGCTCCCCACCACCCAATCCCTCTCTCGCCTGCTCCCCACCACCCAATCCCTCTCTCGCCTGCTCCCCACCACCCAATCCCTCTCTCGCCTGCTCCCCACCACCCAATCCCTCTCTCGCCTGCTCCCCACCACCCAATCCCTCTCTCGCCTGCTCCCCACCACCCAATCCCTCTCTCGCCTGCTCCCCACCACCCAATCCCTCTCTCGCCTGCTCCCCACCACCCAATCCCTCTCTCGCCTGCTCCCCACCACCCAATCCCTCTCTCGCCTGCTCCCCACCACCCAATCCCTCTCTCGCCTGCTCCCCACCACCCAATCCCTCTCTCGCCTGCTCCCCACCACCCAATCCCTCTCTCGCCTGCTCCCCACCACCCAATCCCTCTCTCGCCTGCTCCCCACCACCCAATCCCTCTCTCGCCTGCTCCCCACCACCCAATCCCTCTCTCGCCTGCTCCCCACCACCCAATCCCTCTCTCGCCTGCTCCCCACCACCCAATCCCTCTCTCGCCTGCTCCCCACCACCCAATCCCTCTCTCGCCTGCTCCCCACCACCCAATCCCTCTCTCGCCTGCTCCCCACCACCCAATCCCTCTCTCGCCTGCTCCC